CCTGTTTTTAGGAGAGGCTGAGCTCCCAAACTGAACCTTGAATTTATATGAACATCTTCCATTGTGTAACAGCAAATAGCTAGCCCAGGGGTCGGCAACGTTCGGCACGCGGCTCACCAGGGTAAGCACCCTAGCAGGCCGGCCCAGTTTATTTACCTGCTGACGCGGCAGGTTCGGCCGATCGCGGCCCCAACTGGCCACGGTTCACCGTCCCGGGCCAATGGGGGCAGCGGGAAGCTGCGGCCAGCACATCCCTCGGCCCGTGCAGCTTCCCGCCGTCCCCATTGGCCCGGCATGGTGAACCGCAGCCAGTGGGGGCCACAATCGGCCGAAACTGCCGCGTCAGCAGGTAAATAAACTGGCCCGGCCCGCTAGGGTGCTTACCCTGGCGAGCCGCGTGCCGAACGTTGCCAACCCCTGAGCTAGCCTATTAAAGAATAGTTAAAATCCCCATAGATTCTCTTGTTTTAAACATTCATCACAATTATAACAAGCTATATGATCCTTCAAAAACACTGAATATTTTAACAAGTTCTGACGTGTCTGTGCATGTATAAAATCCTAGACCGCTTTGCAAGCATGCAAAGTCCTGCCATACAAAAGTAATATATAAACCAGTTTCACCTGCTACTTCTTTTAGGGACACTGTCAATTTAAATCACGTTTCTGTGTAATATTAACTAGTTTTTGTTTTTTACAAGTATAGATTAGAATCCTGTAATAAAGATAAAAGAAAAATGTCTATTCACAATTTCTTTACTTTGTACATTTGACAGTAATTTGTGTATTATATATTGTTTCCCTGTCATAGTCAATTTCTGTTTAGTGAGTCCTCCTTACAAGAATGGGGGGAGAAAAATATTAAAAGGATGCAGATGTAAAACTATGCGGAGACACTTAGCTCCTAATGTTTTTAACTCTACTGTTAGGAATTGACAAGTTTCAAGTTGACAGTCTCCTGTTATAGTTAATCCCTCTTTTCTGTTACTCTTTTACCCCAAGGAAGTTGAATGATTTACTGAATGGAAGGTTTTCATCTCTTTAAATGTTCTGGCTTGGGGTATACAGGAGGTCAGATTAGATCAGTGGTTCTAAGCCTTTTTGGGTTTAGGACCCATTTGTAAACCTTGATGGCCTGTCACGACCCAGCGACCCTCATGAGATTGCCCCAGACCTGAAGTCCTCCACCCCCCTACAGTTGTACAAGGGTATTGACTCTTAACAGCGCAGCCTTAGCCAACTTTCACAGTGACTTCAAACATATAAGATTAAGTGAAGAACTTACTCCAAAATTTAGCAGTATACGTGTTAATGACTTTTCCAGAATATTCATTTCATGCCATTAATTCTCAAAATACATTTTAATGAAGGATAAACTGACATGCACAGAAGTTGTGACTTTTGCACAGTCATCATACACCAGGTCAGCCACTGAACCAGGAACAGAACCCTGCTTCCCATGCCCCAAGTCTAACCACTAAAAGCATGTCTTCTCTTATACATATGACAACAAAGCCCAGTCGAGTTACTGAATATGATGCTTCAGTTGGATTAAATTCACCTTACAAAATCTTGCCAAAGAAATTAATATAACACATTAACACTCAGATTTTTTTGAACGAAGTGTAAGTTTTATTATTGTATGAGTGGAATATTTTCAGTTTTGTTCTAACCTTAAACCCTCCAGAGCTCACGCTGTTGGAAAATTCAGATACTGATTTCTTTAAAAAAGAATAGAGATGTAACATTTTTCAAGTCAGAGCAGTTTTCCCATTTTCAGACAACAGATCTTCTTTTATGAGAAATGACATTTAAAATGGGGTCAATGTATGAAACGCAGTTAAGGCCAGTTGTCAAGAGGAAAATGGCAGTAAATAAGGAATCAAAATGAAAAGAAGTCTTAATAAAATTCTTATGCTACAAAAGTGGCTCCACCCTTTGACAGAAGTAGGTTTGTTTCCTTGTTGATTAGTGATTCCAGCAGTTCAATATTTCCCAGATACAGGAAATTATGGCATGAGAAGTAATAAATCCTATCGTTCTATATTGTGTCTCCTGCCCATGCCAAGCAAATTTAGTATTTAACAGATGGACTAAGATACACTTGAGCAGAAATATTTTCCATTTAGGATGGTTGAGCATTAAAGGTTTGGTGGTACTGTACTCCTCACGGTGAGGATACACTGTGTGAATGAAAAGTTGAAATGTTTCTGTGTAATTAAACTGCTAATCACACAGCATACTCGCTTGGATAGTATCCA